AAAATAATTTAGGTTCCGTCTTTTCAAATGATTCCTTTTGAATTAATAAACAATATTACATTAATTTAAGTTTCAGTACATAACTGACAATGCAAAAAGTATATCTATTGATAATCGAAATTGGCAATTGATATTAGGTACCATCAGATATGTCAATAATTAATTTAAAACAAAATTTTATTTATTTTAATTTTTATGTTGTGTTTTTCAAATAATATTTTAAGACATCTTTTTCAAAATGTATTTTTTATTGTTTGTTGCTGTCAGGGTAAGGAGTGGTATTGTAGAGGTTAAGAGTTATTCAAACTCGAGTCTACATTGATACTTGCTGATATAATCTAATCAACTTCTTTAAACAGACCTTAATCGACTAACAATCTTTGCAACAGCGTTCTGATCTTAAATTTTACTAATTGAATTTAAACTCAGATTATATGACAAACATAATAAGAAAAATGTGTGATATCAATAAACATTAAATATAATTATTATAGGTTATTAATAACGTAAAACAATATACATAAATGTATTATTTCCAAAAATTATATTATAATATTTTATTTAAATGACGTAGCCTCCAGTCATTACAAACGCTAAATGTAAAAAATGTAATAACGTTTTAATATCGAAAAAATAATTATAATTTCTTATAAAGAAATAATTTTTTTTTACATGGAATATAAAACATTTTAAACTGTATGTAACAATAATTCTAGAAGTTCTAAAATAATTATTTCTCTATATTACCAAAAAATTAATTTTAGTTTCATGTTTGAGTGAGTAGATGAAGTACGCACAACATAATATTACTTCCCAAAATAGTTTTGCTGCTAACACGATGTATAAAAACGATGGATTCTAGATACACTTAATTATAGTCTTTGAAAAGTTTTACACATTTATCGAATTTTAGCTTTATTGTATTAAGAAGTATGAATTTAATTTTAATTTTCTCAATATTCATTACACTGTGCCTAATATCTGAGTCAAATTGTAATGATAAGCCAAATGCAGAACAGGTAAGCTCAATTATAGGTTTGGATGGATGGCATTCATTTAAACAGATTACTTTTTATGAAAATTCTGAAAAAAAAGCGAATAACAAATTTATTCAAACAGGTTTTTTATACAATGAGCCAGACGAATCACGGTACACATATGGTAGTATAATATTAAATTCAGTTTATGTCTGTCTTATGGAACAACTTTATAAGAAGAATACAAATGCAGCAAATCACTATAAGAATTTATATTGGTATAAAAGAAAATCGAGTGGCTTAAAAAAATTATGGAAAAGTATAACTATGTTGAAAATTTTGATAGTCCATATGATAAACGCCCTTAAGTTTTTCAACTTTGAGGAAAAAGCTGTGCTTAATAATCTTGAAAATTTCAAAAAATTTATAGATGATAACACTGAAATAGTAAATTGTAATAATCATAATATTGATAGTAGGTTTAATAGTATAATCGATATTGTAAAATTTGACAATACTCTTGAGGAATTTAAAGAAAGACATGTTGACCAAAAGCCTATAGACTCTAATATCGCTAGATTTATAAACGGTCTATGTAGAGTTAAAGGTTTGTTGATCAATGATAATGATTTAATTAAACCCGACCAGAAACATATAAAACTAAAGATTGACTATGGTATTACTTTTTTTTATTTTAAATTTGGATTAAGATACAATTCGTTCAATCAGAGCTTCAACGATTAAGAAAAAATTGACGATTCAAGTAGTAACCAACTTAAAATCATCACTAAGTATTACAAAAAATTTTAAAGAATAATTGTAAGAATTAAAAAAATTAATAAAAGTAGAAAAATAATAAGTTATAAATATAAAAAAAATATTTTCATTTTATTTAAATAATTGTATTGGTACAAAACAAAATTGTAATTTGTTGATGACTATGTTGCTAACTTTTTTTTAACACGCTTATATTAGTTTCACTTGTATGTTTGTTTGTTGTTTGTCGTTTGTCGTTTGTNCACTTGATTTTTTAAGTAATTATATTGGTTGAATAATAGAAAAATAAATAACTTTTTTTACAAAAAAGTTATTTTTGAAAACACGTGAGATAAAACCTTCTGATTCTGATCAATTTTGTAAGGATATGACTTATTATTACATTTATTTTATATTCAATCATGTATCAAAATGTGTGCTCCAAAGAAATAACAACTAAATTATTTATTTACTTCAAGATCATAATTTCTCGCGAAAATCAAGTACATCATTTATTTTAGTAAGAAATATAAAACTTATTCAGTTGTATTTAACAGCAATTTAAGTAGTTTTAAAATAAGTATTTCACTTTATTAACATGCAAAATTATATTAAGTGTCATATTTATTTAAAATAAATGCGTACAATTTAATATTAGGTCTAATAATAATTATTTGCTAATACATACAATATATAAAAACGATTAATTCTAGATCCAATTCATTTAAATCATTGAAAAGTTTTACACATTTATCGAATTTTAATTTCATTATATTAATAAGAATGAATTTAATTTTAATGTTCTCAATATTTATTACACTTTACCTGATATCTGATTCAAGTTGTAACGATTATCCAAATGACGAGGAGAAAATGACAGTTGTGATTACTTCAGGATGGGGATCATTTAGATATAATTATTATTATGAAAATGATGAAGCATTAACAAATAAAAAACATATCTGGATAAGCTGTTTAGCTCGTTCTGAAATCGAATTGTCGTACAAATATGGTGGTATAATATTAAATTCAGTTTATGTCTGTCTTATGGAACAACTTTATAAGAAGTATACAAATGCAGCAATTCACTATAAGAATTCATATTGGTATAAAAGAAAATCGAGTGGCTTAAAAAAATTATGGAAAAGTATAACTATGTTGAAAATTTTGATAGTCCATATGATAAACGGCCTTAAGTTTTTTAACTTTGAGGAAAAAGCTGTGCTTGAAAATCTTGAAAAATTCAAAACATTTATAGATGATAACGCTGGAATAGTAAATTGTAATATGCATAATATTGATAGTAAGTTTAATAGTATAATCGATATTGTAAAATTTGACGATACTCTTGAGGAATTTAAAGAAAGACACGTTGACCAAAAGCCTATAGACACTAATATCGCTAGATTTATAAACGGTCTATGTAGAGTTAAAGGTTTGTTGATCAATGATAATAAATTAATTAAACCCAACCAAAAACATATAAAACTAAAGATTGACTATGCTATTACTTTTTTTTATTTTAAATTTGGATTAAGATACAATTCGTTCAATCAGAGCTTCAACGATGAAGATAAAATTGACGATTCAAGTAGTAACCAACTTAAAATCATCACTAAGTATTACAAAATATTTTAAAGAATAATTGTAAGAATTCAAAAAATTAATAAAGTAGAAAAATAATAAGTTATAAATATAAAAAAATATTTTCATTTTATTTAAATAATTGTATTGGTACAAAACAAAATTGTAATTTGTTGATGACTATGTTGCTAACTTTTGTTTTCAACAATGTTTCTTAAGCGTGAATCAATCTTTACATTAAATTATTCAATATAAATTATTATGTATGTAATAAAAAATAATTACTATTATAATAATTCATAAAATAAGCTTGAAAATAAATTAAATATTGGACAATTTATTGCTTTTTTTAGTTAGCTATAGTTTTTTATTTATTATTAATTAGTGAATTCATTCTTAGAATCTTCCTTTATTATTACAAGGGATGATAATGAAATAATAAAGAAAAGATAAAAAATATAAATGCTATATTTATAGGGATGTCAACTTAAATTTTTTAAGGCAACATACATTTTTAACTAGCTTTTAAAATAGGAGATAATTTAATTAAGAAAATAATTGATAAATAACAATATTTGGACTAGTATTTCAGAAGTCATTAAAAATTTTAAGTAATCATTGGTGATGTGAAGTGAGAGATTTTAAACAAAAATAGCAAATATCTATTAATTATACACGTATAGATTAAATATTTTTGTATTTTAGAATTATTTCTTTATAATACCAACTTTTAGATGATATCATATAATAATTTTGACTCTGGCACAAAATAATGACTAATGTATAAATATAATAATTCTAATAATAAGAATATCATAAATAGAAAAAAAATGAACAGTGACTAATTGTGTAGTGATAAAAATAGCAGAATACTTTAGAATACTAATAATAATAATTTTAGAATACTAAAATGCTAAAATGCTAAAATTTAAAGAATTAATAACATGAAACATATTTTAATAGATATGAAAAGTCTATTGCTAATGTAATAATAATGATTATCCTATAGATAACCTTTTTCTATCTAAATTTATTACATAAATAATTTTTGTTTAATAAACCACAGTTGTAAATCGTAAAAATATTGTTTTATAAAATATTGCTATGTTGTTTTTAACCTAAAACAATACTTATTAAAACATAAATATATTACTTTCAAAAATTATATTATACAATTTTATTTGAGAAATAGTAGACTCCAGTCTTTCTTATAAAGCTCAAAAGTAATAACAATTTCATCTTTAATATTTAGAATTTCACTCGAAAAACAAATACATAATTTATTGCGATAAGAAATATCAAACATATTCAGTTGTACGTATCAAGTTATTTAAGTAGTTTTAAAATAAATATTTCTCTTTATTACCAAAAAAAAAAAAAAAATTAGAATCATATTTGTGTAATAAGCAAAATGTTTGAAAAGTTTAATACATTTATGAATTTTAACTTAATTAAATCCAGAAAATGAATTTCATTATCTATTTTTTAAAAATATAGTTTTTTGCAAAATACAAGTGCATAATTTATTGTTGTAAGAAATACAAATTTTATTCAGCTATATTTAAAAGCAACTTAAATAGATTTAAAATAAGTAATTCTTTTTTCATAAAAAAAAATAATGTCAAGTATCGTATTTGATTAAATAAAGTACGTACAATTTATTATTAAATCTAATAATTATAGCAGTTATCTACAATATATAAATACGATTAATGTTACATACAATTCATTTAATTCTTTGAAAAGTTTTACTCATTTATCGAATTTTAATTTCATTTTATTAAGAATAATGAATTTATTTGTAATTTTCTCAATTTTTATTATACTACATCTTATATCTGATTCAAGTTGTAACGATCAGCCATCTGAAGACGAGTTAAAGATTGTTATAGGTACTAGAGGATGGAGATCAATGAAGGGCACAAATTTCTATGAGAATAATAAAAAAAAATTGAAGAAAATTGTTATAATTCCAGCGTTTCTAGATTGGAAAAGTTATGATTCGATGTGCTTATACAGTGGTATAATTTTAAATTCAATTTATGTCTGTCTTATCGAACAACTCTATAAAAAGTATTCAAATGCAGCAAATCGCTATATGAAATTGCATAATTACACTGATAAAAACAAATCCTTACATAAATTATGGAGAAGTATAACTATGATGAATTGTTTTGTAACCCATTTGATAAATGGCCTTAAATTTTTTAATATTGAGGATAAAGCTGTGCTTGAAAATCTTATACAATTCAAAACATTTATTAAAAAAAACATTATACAAGGGTCGTATAGTGAAGATTCAATTGATGTTAAGTTTAGGGAAATAATCAACGTCGTAAAATTTGATAATAAACTTAAGAATTTTAAAAACGAACACGTTGGTCACATATATGAAGAATATATTATCATATATTTTATTAATTCCTTATGTGGAGTTGTGAACAGAGTAATAAATGATCATGAATTGATTAATCCCGATCAGAAAAGTATAAAAGACATAATTGAGGATAGTATCCAGGTTTTTTATTTCTTTTTTGGATTTCGTTATGATTGTTTTAATCAGCACTTTGAACCTGAAGATATTATTGACATGACTACTGGGAAGTTACGTATTTGGGATTGGACTCGTCTTTACCCGAATATGTAGTATTCATAATTTGTGTAAAATTTATTAGATTAATTATTCAAATTTAAGAAAATAATGTTTAAACCTCATTTATTTCAATATGAGTATAAAATGTATTCCTTAAAAGATAAGTTGGAATTTCCTCAAAATTTTTTTCTTTAAACTCTATGCTAAGAATTGTGTGCTAAAATAAAATAATATCATTAAATAATAAAAATATTCTGTTTTTTTCTCTAAATAACCATTTTGTCTCTGGCAGAAAATAATAACAAATGAATAAATATAATAATTCTAATAAAAATATCATAAATAGAATTAAAAAAAACTATAATATATTGATATTCAACAAGAAATATAAATTTAACGATTTTACAAAAAATTAATTTGCCAAGTCATGTTTTTATTTTTCTAAATAATGTTTAAATCTCATCCCGGAAAATAAATACATTTATGTGTTTTTTGTTAGAACAAATAGTAAGGTATAATAAAATCGGGGAAAATATTTATTCGTCTATGACTCGTACTCATAATAATTTTTAATTAATGTTGTAAAAATAACGAAAATACAAAGAATAATATGACAATATCTTTATAATAAACTATGAATGCGTATTAAATAACTACGATGAAATGCTTAATTAAAATTGAAGTATATTTTTATTGACTAAAATTATTGAAAAATATTCTTGAAAGATATGTTAAAAACTCTAAGCGTATTAAATGGTTTTTGTATTTCTATATATTAAAACTTAAGCTAAAATAACAATAATTATTATCCTATAGATAAAATTTATCTATCTAAATTTATTACATAAATTATTAGTCTTAAATAAACCATAGTTGTAAATAGTAAAAATATTATATTTTCTAAAATTCATCGTCAGTTTTCGAATATTTAGTAATTTTCAAATGTAATAAGATATTTTTAATGTAATAATTTCTAAACATAAATGATGTGTTCATTTTATTTACATAAAACTCGAAGTACATAATACAAACTATTTATGAAAAATAAAAATAATTCCGAAACGTTTTACTTAAATTATAATATTGATTGATCAAAATATAATAACAAGAAATTTAACAATTAATAAACAAAAAATACNTTTTTTCACAAAAATAGCATATTTTTGCATACGGTAGTCATTTTCACCATGAAGACAAGTCCAGAGGTCAAATTTTTTTTTTTCAAATTAAAGTATATTACATTAGCTTTAATTTAAGGTATATATAAAATTGTCAGTCTTTCCGGAACATTTTCAAAAGTTAAGTTGAAAAAGTTAATTTTTTGTAAAAAAGTTACCATTTTGAAACCCCATCCTTTGGGCTGTTAAAGGGTCAAATGTTCACAAAAATATATAAAATGATAGGTAATTATCTAAGGTATCTATAAAAAAAAAAATTATATTGATTCGGTCATTTTTAAAAAAGTTATGGCAATATTAAGTAAAAAAAAATGAAAAAATATCGAAAATTAGCGATTTTTAAATTTGTAATTTTTTGGGGGATTTCCCCCGTTTACGAGGAACGAGGGATTTTTTTTCAATTTTTGAGGGTAATGTCTTCAACTAGATACGATTTGTGATCTTTTGACATATTTTTCATCAAAATCGGTTCAGTGAGAGCTGAGAAAAAGTAGTGACAGACAAAAAAAAAAAGAAAATAAACACATCATGGTAAAATTAAAACCTTCTCAGCTTCGCATCGAAGCTAACATATACGTTTTTATTTTTTTAGGGCTAAATAAGAACTTTTCAAACATTTTTGTATTTATACTTTTTATAAAAAAATTGTATACCTACAAAAAAGGTCGAATAAACTTTTTCGCAAAAGCTAAAGTTTTTGAGATAGACATAAAAAACTAAAAAATCACCCTTAGGGGGTTATTTTTAACCCCCTTGGGGCACGTCTTAGAGTTGACCAATCGTCTCCAAATTTCGTACAATTTATTTTTTCATGTATCCGAAATATTCTAGTGGGTGGCACTTTGTATTTTTTAAATTTTATAAATAAGGGAAACGATAATATACACACATTTGTTTATAGCGATAATCAAAAACAAACAGATATAGGAATCATAAAATACTATTTCACATTACCAAAGAAATCAAAAATCACTTTATCATATATCTTATCACATATCTTACTATCTACAGATTTGTATCGAAATGTTTTTTATGATAGTGATTTTAATCACTGTCAGATATCATCTATACTGGACCCTACTATACAACGTCCCCACTATTCTAGGTTTTAGCTTCGATGCGAAGCTGAGAAGGTATTAATTTTGTCATTTTTTTCACTTTTTTTTCTTAAAACTTCCATAACTTTTTCAAAAAACAACAAATCAACTTAATATTTTTTTAAACTAAAACCTTAGATATTTCCCTTTCATTTGATATCATTTTTTTGAAAATTTAACACTTAACCTGCTCATGGGGGGGATTTAAAATTGCAACTTTTTTACAAAAACTAACTTTTTTAACTTGACTTTTGAAAATGTTCCGGAAATACTGCGTCCTTTAAACATATATAAAATTAAAGATTATTTTATGTACTATAAAATGAAAAAAAAAAATTTTGTCCCGACTCTTTATCTTTTGCATGTAAACGGTTGCTGTAGTTAAAAAAACACTATTTTTGTGTTAAAATTTTCGATTTTCGATTTTTAATTTTCAACTTAAAAATGCTATAATTTTTCGAAAAATGTATGTATCAGTACAAAATTTTTTTTTCTAAATACATTATAAGTACATCTTTCATTTGACATACTTTTTATTAAATTTAGACAATTTCCCCTTATATAGGGGGGTTCAAACTTTGAAACATTGTATAAAAATAGAACTTTTTCAACTTGTAACGTGACAAAAGTATCTTTCAAACAACTTTTTTGACTCAGTTGAAATAAAATCATCTATACTTTTATTTTATTTTTTTTTAAGAACGTTTATTAGAAAATTTACAATCTATACAGCTATATGTACAATAAGTAAATATGTGAATAGGAATAAAATAGACAATGATATGGCGGTGAGGAGGAAGCTCACATTAGAGCCACCTGTGTATTATTAATTTTAAGTGGGTTAAATAATATTAAGATGGTCTCTTGACCAGTTGCGTTTGAGGAGTCTGTTTGGATTGCCCGGAAGAATTTTTGAATGTAGCTGAGTAACGAGACGGTTTGGATGGGATTGCATTTTGGAATGTAGTCTTTAGTAATATATGTGTGCAGTTTTTTTAACTATAGCTATTTTGAGGTCTTCGTGGAGGGAGTTGTTGGTAACGTACCACGGTGCTTTGGTTATCATACGGAGACAAATAGACTGGAACACCTGTATTGTCCTTATTATAGACGACTTTGCAACAACCCAGAGCGCGATACCTTATGACCATATTGGTTGGAGGAGGGATTTGTAAAGAAGTAGACGATAGGATATGTGCTGGTTGTGTTGGATGAGCGGTCTTATTAGATGAAGACGAGTATTTAGCTGTTTCCGTTTACTTTTAAGATGAGGACCCCATGTGAGCGTTCTGTCAAATAGCAAGCCCAGGTATTTCGCTTCCCTAGCTTGTGGAATAATAGTGTTGTTGAGAATTGTGTTAGGACAGACATTTTGACGAAGGGTGAAGGTGATGTGGGTAGATTTTAATTCGTTGATTTTTATTTTCCAAGTGTCACACCACTTGGATAATATGTTGAGGTGAGATTGTAAAAATTTGCTACAGTTATGCGGATCTTGATCGGCAGCTAGTATTGCAGTGTCATCTGCGTATGTTCCGATGAGTGTGTTTGCGGTATGTGGAATGTCAGCTGTGTAGATGATGTATAAGAAAGGAGCAATGTCGCTACCTTGGGGGACTCCGGCTTGAATATTTTGATGATCGGATAGTGTGGAATTAAGTTTGACTCTAAAAGACCTATTTTAAAGGTATGATTTGAGTAGTAGAAAGTATGGTGAAGGAAATATTTTTTTAAATTTATGTAGTAAGCCGGTGTGCCAGACCGTGTCAAATGCTTGCTCGACGTCGAGGAATACGGCAGAGCAGTATTTTTTGGATTCGAGAGATGTAGCAATAGTATCTACGACTCTGTGGAGTTGATGGAATGTGGCATGTTTTGGTCGAAAACCAAACTGAAATTCAGGTATGGTATTTTTCTCTTGCGCTAATGGGAGAAGTCTGCTAAGGAGAAGCTTTTCGAGGATTTTACCGAGAACTGGTAAAAGACTATATGACTATCGACTTTTCTGGGGGTTTTTCAGGTTTTAAGATGGAGATAATAATTGCTGTTTTCCATTTAGGGGGGAAATAAGAAAGGCGAAAGATCGCGTTGTAAATATATGTAAGCAGTATGATTGTTTTGGGCGGTAGATTTTTTATTATTTTAATACTAATCTAACGATTTTATATTATAATGAGATCGTATGTCATAGACACATTAATGAATTGACTAAAAATGAACAATGTCCAGTTATTTTTTTATCAATAAACCGTTTAAATAACGTCGATTAATTTCAAAACTTGCTCTAAGATTCTATGTAACTAAAAAAAATAAAATTTTTTTTTAAATCTGTTATTAAAAAAATTAAGTCTAACTGTCTAAAACCAGTGGCTTACTTAAGGCCAATTCTCATCGTAGTTTATAGTTATTTCTGTGGACCGCGGGTACTAGAAGACGTTTATCGTATACTCTATTTATAATGGTTATAGGTATAATCATTTTTTTCAGAGAAGTCATATTTTTTCTCTGTATTTGTTACTTTCATTTTACAGATGAGGATTTTTGGTTCATATTAACTTAAATTGTTTTTTTTAATAATTAAACTCCACTTTAATTAACACAACCACAAACTCTTATTCTCGTGTGTCCATCTACAACAGACACGCTTAAAAAATTATACTCTAATGCTAAAAACTTTTTTTTTTATTATTTTAATACTTTCCAAAAATCTTTTTCAAACTCTTCCTGTACTTAAGTTTTCAGTGATTTTTTTTTATAAATTCCACATCACAAGAAAGCTCATTTAATACATTTGTTTTTAGTTTTTAGTATATTCTTAAAAGTTTAGCTCTTAATTAAAATAAAATAATAATATATCTAGAATTAATAAATTCCTAACACCTAGTGGCACATTCGTGTGCACAAGTGAATTAATATATGGAATTATAAATCTCGCATTCCATTGGACAATTATTTCAGAGCTTAAAAACGATTATTATTAAATTTGACAGAAGGTGTCGATTGACGTAATGAAGTAGTCAACTTGCAAGTTGCATTGAAGTAGTGTTTAAAAAAAGTAAAAAAATAATAATAACGCAGATACAAGAGTTTATAGCGAATGCAAGTAAACGGATTATATGTTGTGTTGATACGGTCGGTTGAGTGACAATATGTCAGTGATATCAAAGTACATTTATGGCGGCTGGTCGTTGGCCGTGCGACATTATTTGGACTAGTGAATTTTAGGAACATGAGTTAAATGTAAATAGTGACCCCCAGTGGCATGCGAATAAGCACTACTTGGTTCCAGCGGATCTCTATTGGGTACCACCAGCGAAGGTTGTACTTTAATTGAACTCAGCTACAGCACTACCGACACGCTCGTACTTATTATTTGAAGTAATATTGCAATGCTGGCCAGCGTTGATGGAGTTGATGTAGACGGTGAACTTGTGTGGAATTGGTTCGTCCGGAGTCAGTGGCGTACGACCTGATGTCTTCACTTCGTCGACGAGGAGGACACTCGACGTTGTATTGCAGCAAGCGGACGTCGGCTGTGCGGCAATTGTTAAAATTTGTATCACATTTAGATATCTGTATGACATATTCCTTTAGATTGTTCAAAACAATATTTACCAGACTTATTTCAGTATTTGATTCGATAATTAAAAAATCTAGAAATATTCTTTTACTTTTGGTTCATTTTCGTTCAGATTTATTGTGTGTACTATTTATAGTTAATTCCTTTTTGCGGCCAGTGTCTGTTGAACAACAGTTTATTATTAAATAGTAGTATTTAGGTTATTGATGTTTTTTTGTTATTATTTTTCACCTAATGTTTCATCAAAATAATGATCTCATCTTGAAGGTGTATGCCACATTTTTTCAAGGTTTATTACAAAACATAATGGTAATCTTAATACGGTTTATTTCGGAATATCCAACGATTTTTTATAACAATGAAATCGTATAAGTCATAGACACATTAAAGATTTGACTAAAAATGATGAGTGTCCAGTTATTTCTTTTTCAATAAACCGTTTAAATAACGTCGATTAATTTCAAAACTAACTCTTTTATCCTATGTTATTAATAGAAATTAAAATTTATTTAAAATTCGTTATTAACAGAAACGGAATAAATGTGGTATTCCAAGTAGTAAATATGAAGTCCTACATTTTTAATGTGTCTTATATGTTCCATTGTAACAGAGTCAAATTTGATAACATTTCAATCAATGGTTTATCCTTTCTTCGTTTTTACATTATTGTGTAGTACATTAATTCTACTCAAAAGTGATACTATCAGGGCTTGGGTATTTTTGCATTTATAAAATTTATTTTAATCATACCGAGTACAATAATGAAATATAAATATTCATATTAGTTGATCTTAACACTAAATAGTGTGTATCAGTAAGAATTTTGACTTGAACTATCACTCTCCTTCAAGAACAAATAAAATTTCTGTAATATAATACTGAAAGATCATATAACCCATATGAATAAAATGTATTATAATTTATAAAAGTGATATTCTACCTGCAGTTGTATTATAATAATGATCTAACCAATGCAAGAAAAATTTAATAGTTTTTTGGCTCCGCAGAAAAATGATGAAAATTTTGATATAATTTATAACGGAATTCCTAACAATTCTATATTATTATAAAATCGTCTGAGTCATAGATATATTAATGAATTTCCTGAGAACAATAGCCAACTTGAAATATTTTTTAATGACTAAAGTAAGGGTTTTTTTGTCATTTTTCGATAATTTCAACATCTCTTGAAATGATATATTTAACCGAAATTTAAATATCAATACATTAAGAACCAAAACCACTACTAATACCGAACTTATTAAAAAATTTAATTAAAAATCGAAACTATAACCCATAAATAATTTAGGTTCCGTCTTTTCAAATGATTCCTTTTGAATAAATAAACAATATTACATTAATTTAAGTTTCAGTACATAACTGGCAATGCAAAAAGTATATTTATTGATAGTCGAAATTGGCAATTGACATTAGGTATCATCAGATATGTCAATAGTTAATACAATACTTATGTAAGGCAATAGTAATTTTCTATTCTATTGACCAACAGTGTTCATAGCAAACTTTATGTAAAAAATGTAATAACGTTTTAATATAAAAAACCATTATAATTTCTTGCAAAAAACAAGTATATAAAAATTATTATAAGAAATATTAAATTTATTCAGCTGTATGTAACAGCAATTTAAGTAGTTTTAAAATAAGAATTTCACTTTATTTAAATGCAAAATTATATTAAATGTCATATTTATTTAAAATAAGTGCGTACAATTTAATATTAAATCTAATAATAATTATATACTGCTATCTACAATATATAAATACGATTAATGTTACATACAATTCATTTAATTATTTGAAAAGTTTTACTCATTTGTCGAATTTTAATTTCATTTTATTAAGAATAATGAATTTATTTGTAATTTTCTCAATATTTATTATACTACATCTTATATCTGATTCAAGTTGTAACGATCAGCCATCTGAAGACGAGTTAAAGAATNATGTAACGATGAGCCCTCTGAAGACGAGTTAAAGATTGTTATAGGTACTGGAGGATGGAGATCAATGAAGGGCACAAATTTCTATGAGAATAATGAAGAAAAGTTGAAAAAAATTGTTATAATTCCAGCATTTCTAGAATGGCAAAGTTATGATTGGATGTGCCTATATAGTGGTATAATTTTAAATTCAATTTATGTCTGTCTTATCGAACAACTCTATAAAAAGTATTCAAATGCAGCAAAACGCTATATGAAATTGCATAATTATACTGATAAAAACAAATCCTTACAAAAATTATGGAGAAGTATAACTATGATGGATTGTTTTGTTACCCATTTGATAAATGGCCTTAAATTTTTTGATATTGAGGATAAAGTTGTGCTTGAAAATCTTATACAATTCAAAACATTTATTAAAAAAAACATTAAACAAGGGTCGTATAGTAAAGATTCGATTGATGTTAAGTTTATCGAAATAATCAATGTCGTAAAATTTGATAATAATCTTCAGATTTTTAAAAACAAACACGTTAGTCATAGACATGAAGAATATATTATCATATATTTTATTAATTCCTTATGTGGATCTGTGAACGAAGTAATAGATGATCATGAATTGATTAATCCCTATCAGGAAAGTATAAATAACATAATTGAGGATAGTATCCAGGTTTTTTATTTCTTTTTTGGATTTCGTTATGATTGTTTTAATCAGCACTTTGAAGCTGAAGATATTATTGACATGACAACTAGGAAGAAACGTATTTGGGATTCGAATCGTCTTTACCCAAATTTACGGTATTCATAATTTGTGTAAAATTTATTAGATTAATTATTCAAATTTAAGAAAATAATGTTTAAACCTCATTTATTTCAATTTAAGTATAAAATGTATTCTTTAAAAGCTATGTTAGAATTTACCCAAAATTTTTTTCTTTAAACTCTATGCTAAGAATTGTGTGCTAAAATAAAATAATATCATTAAATAATAAAAATATTCTGTTTTTTTCTCTAAATAACCATTTTGTCTCTGGCAGAAAATAATAACAAATGAATAAATATAATAATTCTAATAAAAATATCATAAATAGAATTAAAAAAAACTATAATATATTGATATTCAACAAGAAATATAAATTTAACGATTTTACAAAATAATAATTTGCCAAGTCATGTTTTTATTTTTCTAAATAATGTTTAAATCTCATCCCGGAAAATAAATACATTTATGTGTTTTTTGTTAGAACAAATAGTAAGGTATAATAAAATCGGGGAAAATATTTATTCGTTTAACTATAAAATTTATAGTTAAATAATACAAACTATTTATGAAAAATTAAAATAATTCCGAAACGTTTTACTCAAATTATAATATTGATTGATCAAAATATAATAACAAGAAATTTAACAATTAATAAACAAAAAATACAAAAAAAATGATTCTATACGCATTGTACAAAACATAAATCACGCTTAAAAATATAAAAATAAAATGTTGAATATCAATTTAAATTCAAAAATTTATGCTTTCTTCGTTTTTACATTAATGTGTAGTACATTAATTCTACTCTAAAGTGATACTATAAGGACTTGGGTATTTTTGCATTAATAAAATTTATTTTAATCATCCCGAGTTCAATAATGAAATATAAATATTCATATTAGTTGATCTTAACACTAAATAGTATGTATCAATAAGAAATTTGACTTGAACTATCACTCTCCTTCAAGAACAAATAAAATTTCTGTAATATAATACTGAAAGATCAATTAAAAATAACTAATTTTCTCCTAAAATTGCTAAATACTTTTCATATTTATAAAGGAAAATATTATTTGATTAAAAAAGCTTCACAATAATATGTAATTAAATAACTTTTTTTGCATCCTTTCAGGAAAAAAAAAACCTAACATAATTTTTATATTTTTTTTGAGACCACAATTTTTAGTTGATGATATAATAGATAAAAATTTTCAAATAACTTTGTTCTTGTAATTATTTTATTCGATCAACCATATGCGTTTAAAACTATGGATTTAAAATAGATATGCATCAATATTTGGTTTTCATAAAATCAGAATCAACAATAATCTGATAAATGGGCCATGAATTATTATCGGTATTTATTCTGCTATGATAAAAAAAAAATCATAAAGAAATGGTGATTACTCTATGCTTAACATCAAATTATCAATCAAAAAACGCTTAACATTAACCATCTAAATGTGTTTTTCTAAATCTTTTTTAAATTACAAATTTCAATCAGTTTGTGAAAATGTAATAAACCTGTAATTTCTTATTTAATCGTTGCCATCAAGTTGATAATCNATATAACAATGAAATCGTATAAGTCATAGACATATTAAAGATTTGACTAAAAATAATGAATGTCCAGTTATTTCTTTGTCATAACCCATATGAATAAAATGTATTATAATTTATAAAAGTGATATTCTACCTGCAGTTGTATTATAATAATGATCTAACCAATGCAAGAAAAATTTAATAGTTTTTTGGCTCCGCAGAAAAATGATGAAAATTTTGATATAATTTATAACGGAATTCCTAACAATTGTATATTATTATAAAATCGTCCGAGTCATAGATATATTAATGAATTTCCTGAGAACAATAGCCAACTTGAAATATTTTTTAATGACTAAAGTAAGGGTTTTTTTGTCATTTTTCGATAATTTCAACATCTCTTGAAATGATATATTTAACCGAAATTTAAATATCAATACATTAAGAACCAAAACCACTACTAATACCGAACTTATTATAAAATTTAATTAAAAATCGAAACTATAACCCAAAAATAATTTAGGTTCCGTCTTTTCAAATGATTCCTTTTGAATTTATAAACAATATTACATTAATTTAAGTTTCAGTACATAACTGGCAATGCAAAAAGTATATTTATTGATAGTCGAAATTGGCAATTGACATTAGGTATCATCAGATATGTCAATAGTTAATACAATACTTATGTAAGGCAATAGTAATTTTCTATTCTAGTGACCAACAGTGTTCATAGCAAACTTTATGTNTTTCTTCTTTATTAATACTATCCCCATTAACTTTATTTTTAGTTATTTCACGTTATAATTTTAAGTATACGTCCAATACTACGTATTGTATTTAACAATACAGTTACTCGTCAACCGCCACAGCGTACGCACGTGTGTTATCTCCATTTATTCATGCTCTGTGTTCCTTTACGTATTCAACAATTATTACCTCTTATCGCTATTTTTATATCAATTTCATACCATGGGTTTATGTGATATTTGTGCCGTAAGTATTAAACGCGGTCAAAACGACTCAATTACATGTTTCTCTTGTTTGAAATTGTACCATCTTACTTGTGTTTCGTTAAAACAAGATGATCTCGACTATTTAAATAGTTTGAACAAATCATGGTCTTGTGTTAACTGTGCAAAAAAATCTAAAAATGCTATTTNATGTTATAGGTACTAGAGGATGGAGATCAATGAAGGGCACAAATTTCTATGAGAATAATGAAGAAAAGTTGAAAAAAATTGTTATAATTCCAGCATTTCTAGAATGGCAAAGTTATGATTGGATGTGCCTATATAGTGGTATAATTTTAAATTCAATTTATGTCTGTCTTATCGAACAACTCTATAAAAAGTATTCAAATGCAGCAAAACGCTATATGAAATTGCATAATTATACTGATAAAAACAAATCCTTACAAAAATTATGGAGAAGTATAACTATGATGGATTGTTTTGTTACCCATTTGATAAATGGCCTTAAATTTTTTGATATTGAGGATAAAGTTGTGCTTGAAAATCTTATACAATTCAAAACATTTATTAAAAAAAACATTAAACAAGGGTCGTATAGTAAAGATTCGATTGATGTTAAGTTTATCGAAATAATCAATGTCGTAAAATTTGATAATAAACTTAAGAATTTTAAAAACGAACACGTTAGTCACATATATGAAGAATATATTATCATATATTTTATTAATTCCTTATGTGGAGTTGTGAACAGAGTAATAAATGATCATGAATTGATTAATCCCGATCAGAAAAGTATAAAAGACATAATTGAGGATAGTATCCAGGTTTTTTATTTCTTTTTTGGATTTCGTTATGATTGTTTTAATCAGCACTTTGAACCTGAAGATGTTATTGACATGACAACTGGGAAGTTACGTATTTGGGATTCGAATCGTCTTTACCCAAATTTACGGTATTCATAATTTGTGTAAAATTTATTAGATTAATTATTCAAATTTAAGAAAATAATGTTTAAACCTCATTTATTTCAATTTAAGTATAAAATGTATTCTTTAAAAGCTATGTTGGAATTTACCCAAAATTTTTTTCTTTAAACTCTATGCTAAGAATTGTGTGCTAAAATAAAATAATATCATTAAATAATAAAAATATTCTGTTTTTTTCTCTAAATAACCATTTTGTCTCTGGCAGAAAATAATAACAAATGAATAAATATAATAATTCTAATAAAAATATCATAAATAGAATTAAAAAAAACTATAATATATTGATATTCAATAAGGAATATAAATTTTACGATTTTACAAAATAATAATTTGCCAAGTCATGTTTTTATTTTTCTAAATAATTTTTAAATCTCATCCCGGAAAATAAATACATTTATGTGTTTTTTGTTAGAACAAATAGTAAGGTATAATAAAATCAGGGAAAATATTTATTCATTTAACTATGACTCGTAATAATAATAACGAAAATACAAAGAATAATATGACAATATCTTTATAATAAACTATTGTGAATGCGTATAAAATAACTATGATGAAATTCTTAACTAAAATTTAAGTATATTTTTATTGACTAAAATTAATGAAAAATGGTCTTGAAAGGTATGTTAACAACTCTAAGCGTATTAAATGGTTTTTGTATTTCTATATATTAAAACTTAAGCTAAAATAATAATAATTATTATCCTATAGATAAAATTTATCTATCTAAATTTATTACATAAATTATTAGTCTTAAATAAACCATAGTTGTAAACAGTAAAATATTATATTTTCTAAAATTCATCGTCAGTTTTCGAATATTTAGTAATTTTCAAATGTAATAAGATATTTTTAATGTAATAATTTCTAAACATAAATGATGTGTTCATTTTATTTACATAAAACTCGAAGTACATAATACAAACTATTTATGAAAAATAAAAATAATTCCGAAACGTTTTACTTAAATTATAATATTGATTGATCAAAATATAATAACAAGAAATTTAACAATTAATAAACAAAAAATACCAAAAAAATGTTACTATACGCATTGTACAAAAAATAATTCACGCTTAAAAAGATAAAGATAAAAAGTTGAATATCAATTATTAATTCAAAAATTTATCCTTTCTTCGTTTTTACATTAATGTGTAGTACATTAATTCTACTCTAAAGTGATACTATCAGGGCTTGGGTATTTTTGCATTAATAAAATTTATTTTAATCATCCCGAGTACAATAATGAAATATAAATATTCATATTAGTTGATCTTAACACTAAATAGTGTGTATCAATAAGAAATTTGACTTGAACTATCACTCTCCTTCAAGAACAAATAAAATTTCTGTAATATAATACTGAAAGATCAATTAAAAATAACTAATTTTCTCCTAAAATTGCTAAATACTTTTCATATTTATAAAGGAAAATATTATTTGATTAAAAAAGCTTTACAATAATATGTAATTAAATAACTTTTTTTGCATCCTTTCAGGAAAAAAAAACATAACATAATTTTTATATTTTTATTGAGACCACAATTTTTAGTTCATGATATAATAGATAAAAATTTTCAAATAATTTTGTTCTTGTAATTATTTTATTCGATCAACCATATGCGTTTAAAACTATGGATTTAAAATAGATATGCATCATTATTTGGTTTTCATAAAATCAGAATCAACAATAATCTGATAAATGGGCCATGAATTATTATCGGTATTTATTCTGCTATGATAAAAAAAAAATCATAAAGAAATGGTGATTACTCTATGCTTAACATCAAATTATCAATCAAAAATCGCTTAACATTAACCATCTAAATGTGTTTTTCTGAATCTTTATTAAATTACAAATTTCAATCAGTTTGTGAAAATGTAATAAACCTGTAACTCCTTGTTTAATCGTTGCCATCAAGTTGATAATCTCATCCTGAATGTGTACACCAAATTTTTTCAAGGTCTATTACAAAAAATTATGTTAATAAGGTTTATTGCGGAATATCTAACGATTTTATATTATAATGAGATCGTATGCCATAGACACATTAATGAATTGACTAAAAATGAAGAATGTCCAGTTATTTTTTTATCAATAAACCGTTTAAATAACGTCGATTAATTTCATAATTAACTCTATTATCCTATGTTATTAATAGAAATGAATATTTTTTTTAAATTTGTTATTAACGATTTTCTTTTCAATTTTTCTATTACTTTAACATTTATTGAAATACTGTTATTAATCGAAATATTGAAATACCAATAAATTGAAGAACCAAAACCACTACTAAAAACGAAGTTATTAAAATAATTTAATTAAAAATCGAAACTTTAACCCGAATAATTATTATGGTTCTTAGGCCTGATTTTATTGTGTTTTTAAATGATTACTATTGTGTTAATAAACACTCGTCATTGTCATTCTTCTTTATTAATACTATCCCCATTAACTTTATTTGTAGTTATTTCACGTTATAATTTTAAGTATACGTTCAATAGTTATTTTAATATAATATCGATTATATACTTTTATATTTTAGAATTAATTTCTATAAACTGAACTTTTAGATGACATCATTATTTAATAATAGTATTTTTTTACGAAATGAAAGCATTAAAAAAATACTCAGACAATCTTTTATGTTTTATGGGTGATAAAGGATCAATTATGTATCTTTTAACACCCTTATTTTAGTAAATAATTGAAATAATTATAAATATATTTATTAAGGTATGCATATAACAGTGACCTACAGTGTTCAAAGCAAACTTAGTTTTAATTTTTAGGCAATATTTTAATATCAAAAAAACAGTTATAATTTCTTGGAAACAAAAGTATATAATATATTATTATAATGAATATAAAACTTATTCAGCTGTATGTAACAATAAATTCATTAGTTCTAAAATAAGATTTCTCTTTAACATCAAGAGAAATAAAATTAAGTGTCATATTTATTTAAAATAAGTGCGTACAATTTAAAATTACATCCTAAAATAATTATTTGCAGCTAACACAATATATAAAAACCATAAATTCTAGATACAATTCATAAAAATCTTTAAAAAGTTTTGCACATTTTTTGTATTTTAACTTTATTAAAATAATAAGTATGAATTTTATTTTCTGTTTTTCAATATTTATTACACTATACCTAATATCTAATTCAAATTGTAATGATAAGCCAAATGAAAAACAGGTAGAGTTAATTATAGGCGCTTTAGGATGGAAATCATTTAAAGAGATTTGTTTTTATGAAAATTCTGAAGATAAAAGAAAAGTCGATTTTATTAAACCTCAGTTACTTTTAAATAATGATTACGATTTACAGTACAAACAAGGTAGTATAATATTAAATTCAGTTTATGTCTGTCTTATGGAACAACTTTATAAGAAATATACAAATGCAGCAAATTTTTATATGAATTTAAATGAATATGATCAAAAATTGAATGGCTTAAAAAAATTATGGAAAAGTATAACTATGTTGAAAATTTTGATAGTCCATATGATAAACGGCCTTAAGTTTTTTAACTTTGAGGAAAAAGCTGTGCTTGAAAATCTTGAAAATTTCAAAAAATTTATAGATGATAACACTAATATAGTAAATTGTAATGAGCGTAATATTGATAATAAGTTTAATAGTATAATCAATATTGTAGAATTTGACAATCCTCTTATACAGTTTAAAGAAACACACGTTTATGAATCCAGAGAAAGTTCAATTATCGTTAGTTTTATTAATTCCCTATGTGGAGTTATTCACAGCAACATTAATAATAGTATATTAATTAATCCTGACCAGACAGATATTAAAATAAAAATTGACCATGCTATCCATGATTTTTATTTCAAATTTGGATTAAGATACAGAATGTTTAATCAGAACTTTGAGGATGAAGATAAAATTGATCAGTCACCATGGAATAAAATTTTTATGACCACTAGCTATTTAGTTGAATATTTAGAAAAAATTGTTTAAATATCAATCATCTAAATCTAAATTTTAATGTCTAACATGTATTTTTTTGAGAATAAATAATCGTAAATTGATTTTATATCTAAATTATTTATGTTCAAACCAGAAATTTTATTTTGCATCTATTATTATTCGGATGAGTCAATTCTTTGTCTATGATGCATGTTTCTCCCTTTTTCTGGTGGTAAATAATAAAAAAATTAGTAAAAAAAATAAATAAGACAATGTAATGTGTAATGTTATTTAGTAAACCTTTTTTGTTATCAACTTATGCAATAATAACAATTTCGATTATTATTCTAGGATTTTAATGTTAATATTAAAAAAACCGAACAGACAAGTATAGATGATATTTAAAAGTGTTAATAATCAATATCATAAGAAAAACTTTGATGCAAATCTGTAAATAGTGTTTAATTTTAAGAAATTGGTGGATTATTCCTTCAGTTAATCCTCATTTCCTTATTCATATCGTGATAATAAGTTTTGTGATGTCGAAGTGTAATATTTGAATAAATATTTAATAAATTAAATTACATATTTTTTAATTAATAAAATACATATTTAATATGTAAAATAATTGTTCAATTTCGACGTTTTTTTTGTACGAAGAAAATTAGTCGTCGGAATAATTTTATCTTTAAATTAACATATATATATATAAATATACATATAAAAGACGCAGTATTTTTAAAAGTAAAGTTGACAAAATTAACTTGTTTTTTACACATAAAGTAATTGTAAAAGTATTAAACATAAATCTTCATGCATGTACCTTAATAAATACTATATATTATTAAAACATTAAACTACAAATATTATTTAGTTCGTATAATTATACAATAGCACACATCGTAATAATGTAGTGGTCAGTGGTTTATTTGGTGGAGATCTGTGTTTTTTATTAGTGAACAATAAGAAATTATTTGAAAACCGAAAAGACCAACCCGATAATTAGTACTCATAAAATCATGACACATTCTCTGACGTCGACGACGCGGTGTCCTTTACGATGATCTGACGTCAAATGTTAGCAGCGTTAATGATGACGGTGAGCTTGTATGGATTGGGTCGGGTTGGGTTGGGGGAGATTATCGTTTCCGCCAAACTATTCTTCCACCTGTCCATCTACTAAAAAATTTAAGAACCACTTAGTTTT